CAAAATTAAAAAAAAAAAAAAACCAAAAAATACTGAAAAGGAAAAAATCAAACCAAAAAAAAAAAAAAAAACATATACTGATAATTTCTCATTCGACTTTGTTGAATATAATAAAGAAAACCAATAATATTTTTTTTTAAATTTATGAAAGGAGGAAATTAATTAATTAAATACGTACCAGGATTGGTGCAGTGCTTGAAAATGGACTCAACCATGGCAGTGACCTCATCTTCCCTAATGGGTCTGAGAGCCTCGATCCTCTTGGGAGAGAAAAGCTCCAGAGTGCACACCTTCCTCACCTTAACATAGTGGGGCCCATAGTCAGCCCAGATGAGATCCTGGCCGTCCTTGCTGAACTTCGCAGCTGATCTGCTCCTATGCCGATCAGCCAGCTTCTGGTCATGCTCTTTCAGCACCTCCCTTGCCAGTTCTGAGCTGGACACGATGACGTTTAGCGTCGACCCCGTCCACACCGATATGATGGGCCCGTAGGCCTCAGCCCACTCCGCGTAGCAGCGGAACCTCACTGGCTTTATGTCGTAGAGGTTTCCGACGATCGGCCATGCACGCGGACCGGGTGGGAGCTTGAATCTCAGCCGTTGGTAGAGCTTGTATGCGAGGAAGATCAAGATGATTATTGATGAGATTGGAAGGGCTAGTTCAGAGAGAGCCATGTTGATGGAATGAAAAGTGAGGAGAGCAGCGTTGAATTGGGCAAATGTTGGAGTTGGAGTTGGAGGGAGGTTGATATATATGAGAGACGATGGGATGGAGTTGGTGAATGGATTTGTATTGTGGAGAGAGAGAGAGAGAGAGAGAGAGAGAGAGAGAGTATGCGGGTGACCCACCAAGCATATACAATTTGGAGGATTAGAGTTGGTGAGAGTGGAATGTACCAACTCATGGGTGGGAGGAGAACTGGTTTTAGGAGATGGTTTTCCCTTGGTGGTATATGAATACTTTGAGCTTTGTGGTTGTGTCATTAATTAGTATACTCACTATAAAATGAGTGGGCAACAATTTTACTTCATGAGGAAAGGGACTTGAAAATGGGAAATTATTTTTTATTTAGGGATATAATTGCAAACTAAGCAAAATGTATTTACATCCTTATACTAACCAATTATACTAACCAAAAATGCGAAAGAAAATATAACGATGGTTTTTAGTTATTTTCCCAATGTTACCAAACATGGAAAAAGAATTTTCGATTTTCCTTTGCATGAAAAACTACATGAGGATTGATTTCTCATCAATTTATTTCCATAAACCAAACGGGATCTTAATATAAAATCATATTTAGCTGCTCGTCATTATCTACGTTGTTGTGATTAACGAATTTTCATCGTACACATATCATAATCAGAACTATTCATTTACTAAATCATCATTCAAATTAGAAACTATTTAATCATCTACATATATATCACAGTTCATCTAAGGATCTTAATATTACTTTAGACGATCCTCAATTTGATTAATGTATGGACACAATCCTAAAATATAATAATAATAGAAAAATATACATGTTTTATTATAATTAACACAAATATTGCACTAGTATATGATTTTGTTTGCAAAATTAGCATTGGATGGGTCCACCTTTGTAGTAACTAGTGTTAGTTAATAAGCAAAGGAAATGATGATTAGAGTGAGTGCGCTGGGGAAAAGGTTTTCAATTAATCTTTGGCGGTTGGTGAAGATTTCTTTTCTCTTTTTTTTCTTTTTTGGTTGGAGGCGGTTGGTGAAGTTGGAAATGATGATAAGGACTTTAGCACAGCGTAGGGATGAAGGAATCAAAGGTTGGTGAGGATGTAACCCGAACAACGAAAAGGACACAAAAACAAAACAAAGTTTTATAAATAAATAAACTTTATGGGGCAAAATATGCAAGTTTGGTGAGGAGGGAGGCAGATTAGAACTTCCGTATAATAATAAAAGGTTTATTTACTGTTTCACTTCTTGAAATGGATATTTGGTCACTTTACTCTATTAAACTGAAATTTTATCACTTAACTCTCTGAATCTCTAAAAATTGCTGAAATTTTCTTTTTTTACCACTTTTATCTATTTCCATCCACAAATCGTTAAGTGTGCTAATGTAGCATGGGGCATTATAGTAATTTTAGCTCCTTATTGATAATGAAGTTGTAGAGCACAATATCGAAGTAAAATAATGTAGTGGTAAGTGAGTATCCTTCTGTAGAGACCAAGACTAATTCATTTGAGTACTGATTACGATTAATCTTAAATTTTATATGGATGTTAGAATGGCGAGGCTTAAATTTAATAACATATACAATAATAAAATTTGGCAAACACTGATGGTATGAGTACTAGGGCTCCAATTTCACGATAATCCATTTTATCATATTCTTGTAGCCAGTTTATCCTAATTATTATTCATGTTAATAGTAAACTTCTCTTAATTATTCAATATGATATGGCCGTCTATACCAAAAGCATTCTAGCCACACACACTCTCTCTCCCTCTCTGGGTTATAATAATATAGGAGAATGAGGTTGGAGGTGGGTGAGGGGGAAATCGGGTGGTGATTGTGACTTTTGTTGGAGAACCAAAATGGAACTCATGCATAAGTTGAGGGATCACTTCAATCAGCTTTTGTTTTGAGAGATTTTGGAAAGACACAAATGAGAGAGAAATTTTGTAAAAGAAGCCAAAATTGACAAAATTGTCCTTAATTATTTTTAGATTTCATAAGGAATCCTTTACATTTGCATGTCTTTGATTTGAAAGTTGAGAGGTTTTTCTGTCTTTTTTTTAAAAGCTTTGGCTTTTTTCAAAAGTGAAATTTTTTTTTGGGTTAAAACCTAAATTTACTTTTTGTTTTTGTCAAAAATCTTATTTACCCCCATAGCATGTGCCATCCACGTGATTCAAACTATCAGAAAAATGTCATGCTGGGACCAGTTTGCTCCCAAAATAGAAAGTTGGAGTACTATTTTAATGAATAATTAAATAATTTAGTTAAAGGACTAAAATGTATTCAGGGACTATTTTGGAATTTACCAAAAAAATTCCAAGCTGTTAATTTGCTGAAAGGAGACAAAATAGTGATCATGTGACTTGCGCATGACCCTTTTTTTTTTTTTTTTTTTTTCTACAGAAAAATTTAACGTTCTTCACCTTATGTGGTATTTTTCTATCGACACAATAAACGCTCCACAATAAAATTGTGCACGAAAAAAAAAAAAAAACCAGTTGGTGGTAAAATTCGACATAGGGTAAAGTAAAGTTGGGGTAAATAAATTTTAGGCGGTATTACTAAATGTTCCCCAAATTAAGTTGAGGAGAAATGAGACAGAAAGAAGCCCGAAACTAGAAGATCTTTCGTCATCTCCGTGAGAGAGTCGTCGGAAGTGGAAGGCGTAGCTGGTAAAATAGCAGCAGATGGCAACCACAGCATGTTTCGTCATCGTCAGCAGAAACGACATCCCTATTTACGAAGCTGAAGTCGGATCCGCTGCCAAAGTAAGTATCGTTCCTTTTCCTTTTCCTTTGTAATTTCCAATTTCAATTGCATTTTTCTGATTTCCATATTCATCTGCAATGCCCATTTTTGGTTATTTGTGTGTTTAGAGACTCAAAGATTCAGACTTGTTACATTCAAATGCTTTTCCATTAGTGTAATTTTTATGCCAAAATGCATCCATTTGCAATTAATTAAAATGGGTTTCTTCATTTCTTAGCAATCTCTGCATCTGCAATGCTTTGTTCAATTTATGTTATGGGGTTTGTTAATAACTTTTAAATTCATCAAAATATATAATTTGTATGGCTATATACTTATATGGTAATAATGGGTTGACACTTGACAGAGAGAAGATGCTGCTCAGCTGCATCAGTTTATATTACATGCTGCTCTGGATATTGTTCAGGACCTTGCCTGGACTACTAGTGCCATGTGAGTCACTTGTTCTGTGTGCCCTCTGTGCTTTTCTTCCACATTTAACTTGTTTACACCGTTATTCATCTTTATAACATTCTTGGTGTAGGTACTTGAAAGCAATAGACCGCTTTAATGATCTGGTGGTTTCCGTCTATGTCACCGCTGGTCATATCCTTCATATTTTGAAATCAAATTTTTTGTCACCTTCACCTATCTTAGAATTCTATAGTTTCTGATGATTTGTTATTTGTTGCATTGGTAAATTCTTGGTTCCCGTTGTTTGCATTGTGTAAATGTTTTAAATGGTACTATTAAGGAACTGCATATATTTGGAACTTACGATCAATCCTGCATACAACTCTTTCGATTTTCAAAACAAGAAAGTATCTTCAACCTATAACAGTGATACAACCTCCGCAGATGGCATAGCAATGATGTCAAATGTATATTCTTATGTCGTCTTCAATTTCCCCAATTCATTACTATTGCCACTGTTGTGATTTTTTTTTTCTCAACTTCACAGAAGGATAAGTGAAAAGTTTTTAAATTTGTTCCTGTGCTGTACTGTGTTAGGGTACAACTTTCAGTTTGATGCTTTCCTTGACTAGACATACATACACGACTTATGCTACTTCATGACTCCCGTAATGATGATGGTATCAAGAGCTTCTTCCAAGAGGTTCATGAGCTCTATATCAAGGTAAGTACTACTTGCCATCCACCCTTTATTTAAGTTTCTTTTTCCACTTTCGTACTATGTTCCTAATGCATGTTCTTTGGGGATTGTTCTTATGAAACTCCTGGTGGGGTAGATTCTCCTGTAGTATCTTGGTAAGGGTGGTGTGTAGCGGTGGTTTTGGCGATGGCAATGGTAGGGTTTTGGTGGCTAGAAATAGCATTGATCGTGGTAATTTGCCGGGGGTTTCTCGCAGCAAGCTTTCTGCATGTTTTGATGGTTGTGATAGAGGCACGATGGGAATTCCCACCATAAGAGCCCATTTTTAAATTTAAATTTTCTTTGGTTGGATGTTAGTTGCATACACTTGTTATTACTGGTAAATAGATGTCTTATTTCGTTTTCCAAAGTCTGCACATTTTTCCAAGTTATATCATTCTTTCTATGATATTTCTAATATGTTTCTAAAACGTTTTCATTTTCTTGGAGTTAAAATCTTTTGCAGAGCTTGTATCAAGTCCATATATGTTAACATAGTTTTAAGCTCTGGATTGTAGATTAGGACTTAGGAAATACTTTTTCTTTATAATATACACTCTTGTGGTGTTAATCTTTTGACAGGCATGCATGTGAATTTTCCCAATCTCCTCTCAAACAGTATTTGCTAAACCCCTCATATTGTTTTCTTGTCTAATATGACCAGCAAAATCTTTTGTTCTATATTTTGATATGAATTAGGAAATATTTCTGTCAGAGTATCTGGTATCCTTTCTTCAAGCCTAAGAGCCATCTAGCACAAATCTTTTCTTTTCAACTAATTTTTCTTTTAAATGCTGTCAACCAGACTTGATGGGGAAACCCCTCATATCGTTTGCATTTCAAAGCTGAAGTTTGCCTAAACACACTGTTAATTCTTTCATTACACAGTTTCCATTTCACGCTGTTAATTCTTTCATTGCATAATATATGTTTCAAACTCTCTCCTGTACCTTCCAGTCCTATGATGATGGATAAATCTTGCCTTTTAGTTTAGTGTAGCTAATTCGAAATGAATTATTCCTTATTCTTCCCTTAACAAGAACTTTTAGTGTCATGCTTCCGTCCTCTATACCCCCTTATGTTGTTCAAACTTAGAAGTACTGTTGTGGGGGATTCTGATATCTTTTAGCGTCTTGGTTTTTTTGTGCTAGTTAATGTACTCTGAACTCTCTCCAGTTACAAAAGAAAGAATAGGCTAATATCAAAGCCAAGTTGTAGGCTAATATCAAAGCCAAGTTGAACTTATCTCTGCCTAGCTCTTCTTCCATTTTCTCTAGTTTTGTCATGCATTATTTCA